AGAAAATACATCCGATTTTCTTTACAGTTACAGCCAAAAAAATTTCAATACAACATTTATACCGTACTGCCATTTATGTGTTGTGAACTTTCTACCGAGATGTCAATATTGCAAATGAGGTAATTGTGAACTGCAAGGACATTTAGCATCAAGCTCTGTGACACTAATGGCGATCACCGCACCGGCTGACTGCTTGGTAAGTGGGAAATGAGCGAAAATGATATTGTTCCCACATGCCTAGCACATTTGTAAAGGAATCTACGATGGTCAGAAATGGCACGATAATTAAATGAAGAACAGCATCAGAGACGCCATGGGGAAACAAAACACGGGGGTGGGGTGGGAGTGGGGAGGGTGAGAGAGAGAGAGAGAGAGAGAGAGAGAGAGAGAGTGTGTGTGTGTGTATATGTGAGTGTGACAGAGACAGAGACAGAGAGAAAGAGAGCTGGTAGAAATGTGTCTTTTAAAAATCAAATGAAAGGAGACTGTGGGTAACACTTTAGAGGTTGGTAGGGGGCGGGTGGATACAAGCAAATATTGTTGGTAACTTCATATGATATACCATCAGTAGTAAAGATTGTTCAAGAATATTGAAAACGGAAAAGGATATTTGAAAAAAACAACAACAAACCAGTTTGACATAAAACGTACTCATGTATTTAACCACAACATAACACGCATCATACTTTTATTATGAAAAGGTATTAATATTCGGTTTATTTTTGAGTGTGGAAACAAGAAGAAGGGTGAACAAAAATATCAACCCACACCCCCCACAAAACAAACAAACAAACAAACAAACCAATCCACAAACAAACGAACAAAACAAAGAACCCCCTCACCCCAAAAAACAAATATTTAAAAATTAATGTTATGTTTATAAAAATGACATCACGCTCTTTTACTTTTACTTCGATTCACGCACTCACTCATCCGGACTGTTGACCGTGCCGTTAAAAATCCGCATATTCAGGCAATCTCTTGCAGTGTCTTTACACCCGGCGCAAATATGTTACGTCCTCGTCAACACAATTTAGGCCTTTTTTAGGAAATGGACTGTTTCGACCATGTCTACCAGTGCTTATGCGGGAAATATGGAAAAGGCGTACATTCTGGAGAAAGGATGGAAGTACTCGATACAGATTTTCCACACTTCATTTTTAAGCGCAAGGAGAAAATTCTTTGCATTACACCAAAGAGTAATAATTATAAACTTTTTTTTTTTTTACATCATTGTACTGACAGTATGCTGTTCAAGCAAAGAAAGAATGTACTATATATAAGACAAACTGATTTCCCGATTTCAAATTAATAATCACCTATCCATGTTATTTTCTATATTGCAGTCGAACATTATTTCTCAATAAAATCCCACTGGGTCTGTGGTTAATCGGTTAGGATCTTCAAAGTCACAAACATATACAGACGTTGTGAGTTCGATTCCCGCGTGGGGAAGCTATAGTATCCATTTACTGCTTCCACCTTTTGGCCTGAACGCTAATTCCCCCTCGGCGCGGGTAGGGTAAAAGAAACCCCATCTCTAAATGATCTAAACTGTGTTGATGGAGGTGTAAAACAATTACAATCCTATGCATCAAAATGACCACATTACTTATGGTTTTGCAGGAACAACGTGAGCTGTCATTTCGCCATGAGTCCGTGGATTAAATCCTACCTCCTGCTTTTTCTGTCCCCGCTGTATACAGGTAAGAGAAAATTTTTAAAAACCCAACATTTACTCATTGCTGGATGATAATATTATGACATTTCAAAAACTAATTTTCGACTTTTTACCTCTTTTGACGGGAAGGGAGTGAGACTGATGTCATTTTCCTGCAATGTGTTTTTAGTAAACATTACACACAGTGTTATTACTTACTTACTTTACTTTATCCTCCCTCTTGTATCATCTATGTTATTACCGTCGTTTCTTTTTTTTCTCGGAAAGGATGGAAAAGTAGTCTTTAATCGCTGTGATTTCTTTTCATGTCGGATATATTGCATTAAGTGCAAGCTTCGTTTTCTGCTTTTCGTCGACTGCCCTTATGACTTGGAACCAGTTTTGCGATCATTTATTAATTTAAATCTTATTTCATATTTCAAAAATAAAATTAAACATTAACATGTGCAATAAGTTTTTTTCTTTTTTTTCCTTCTTCCTTTCCTGCTTTCTATTTTATTTTTTCCTCTTCTTTATTTTTTCCCTTGTTTCGTTCTTCTTTCTTAGCATACAGACATTGCATTGTTTCTCTTATATCCATCAACGTGTCTAACATGAGCAATTTATTATTTATCTATTCCTCTATTTGTTTATATTTGTATCTACAGCTTTCTTTTAAATAATCCTACACATATATAGTATGTAACATTGATCATTAAAATCCAGAAGACAACTTTGAAATTCAATGGAAATGTATTTTAAAAAAACTACAAATACACCTTAGCTTCAAAAATCGAAAATGTGATACTTGTTTAGAGTTTGCATTCAGAATGTTTAAGAAAGTTATAATGAAGAAACGTTTGCCAACGCGTTCCAGATACAAAAAAGTTTATAATTTCAGAAATAATCAACCATTATCTAAACATAACGAACACATGCAGAGGCTCACAGACAAAGCCATGCACACACACACACACACACACACACACACACACACACACACACACACACACACACACACACACACACACACACACACCTATAATCATTCACACACACCTATAATCATTCACACACAAACACACACACAGACACATACCCACTCGCCCACCCACCCACCTCCACACACAACACAGACACACACACACACACACACACACACACACACACACACACACACACACACACACACACACACACTCATAATTATCCACACACAAACACACACGCACAGACACAGACACAGACACAGACACACACACACACACACACACACACACACACACACACACACACACACACACGACACGTACTCTCTCTCTCTCTCTCTCTCTCTCTCTCTCTCTCTCACACACACACACACACACACACACACACAAACACACAGAGACGCGCTCCCAATATGAGTGCCCGACTTTCAAAGTAAGAACAGTTTTTAGATCAACAAAAAAAGCCTTGCAAACCCCATTATTGATTATGAAAGCTGTAGTTGAGTTCATCCGTGAGGGGAATCCAGACTAGTTACATAATATCCTGATCTATCGACGATCTTTAGACGACTCAGTGACGTTTGGTAAGAAGCATAGTTGCAAGCTTTGAAAGGAAACAATACCTTATTATATAGAGTGGAATAGCATCTTGTGAAAGCTAATGACGTCATTGTGAGTACGACAAATCCTTATACGAAAATAAAGTAAAAGAAAACAACTAAAAATCCACTAATGTATGCTTCAGTTCTATATTTCGGCTGCATTATTACTTTTATTTTTTTGGGGTCTGATCATTGTGTCAAATGTTGAGCAATACAATACAAGCCTAAACTGGTGAAGGAGATTGTTAGATTATCTGATATTATTGTGTACCTCAATTTTATAAATTCTTTAATTTAAAAAAAAAAAAAAATGTTTTTTTTTTTTGGGGGGGGGGTGACTTCAATACGCGATCTTCGTGATTTTTAAAGAAATTCGTAATTTCAGTTCGTTCACAAAGACGTTAAAAGGAGCGCTGTGCATTGGAACATATTATGACACTGGGCAACTCAAATCTCAAATTCACAACATTTGAGAGAAACTAAATTGACAAAACACGAAAAAGAGAAAAAAAACCACCTCTCCCCCCAAAAAAACCCCAAACAACAACAACAAACAAACAAACAAACATAAAACGACTGGAGCACAGTAAACTTTCGTTTTTTTTAAATTACACGATCACACTCCAATGGTGACAGATGGTACGTCTAAGAGGCAGCACCTAGTTTTATTGTCCGTCTGCAATGAGATAGACTGTTATTATCAGAAAAAATGGCAATATATAAAGAAATCTTTAAAAGATATAGAAAAAGGCTTCGCTACGTCGTTAGAACAGAAACAAATTAAACAAACTAAACAAATTTTTAAGAAGGAGGAAAAAGAAAAAAAGAGAAAAAAATAAGAAAAGAAATTTCAAAAACCCGTAGATCTAAAGGAAATTACAATGGCATAAAGTAGGTTCTCCCTCCTCCGTAAATACAAATCCATAGACATACACTGTAGGGATCCGGGAATAACAATAGCAACAACAATAATCACACTTTCTGCAAAAGCAGTAACAGTAACCTCAATATCTGCAGCAGCAGTAATAGAAACAACAATACTTGCACCAGTAGCCAGAGTAACTACACTATGTGTAGTACCAGTAAAAGTAGGCCTAACTGAAATATTTCCAATAGCAGCATCAGCAACCACACTATTTGCGATTACAGCAGCTGTAACGTTACGACACTTTTTTGCAATAGCAGAAATACTTATACATATTCACGATAGCAGCAAAGTAAGAACAACAATATCTACAATAGTTATAACAGTAACAACCAACAATATCATCGATAGAGGGATCAACAGCAGTGAGTTGGTGCCCCCTCCCCTACCCCACCCCCTTATTTTTTCTCAAAAAAGGAAAAAAAAGAGGGACAAAAATGTTAAAACAGATTTTTGTGAATAAGATAATCGAGTTGCAAAGTTTTGAAGTATTCTTAAGCTTTCTCCCTCTTGTTTCTCTATCCAATATCAAACAACACTAGCTCTAATCAGTTAATTGCCTTATCTCTAAACACAGCTAATAACCTGCACATACTTGGTTAATGTTCCGAGCAGGAATCACTCAAATTTCTTTATTCTCGCCCATCAAAGCCGACAGGATAGAGGGACATTTCCAGAAAACGCAAACAAGACTGCGGAAAAAATAAACGCAGGGTATCATGGGATTGCGGCATTCGCGGGTTCTAAGTGACAGCAAAACAAGCATCAAGGAATCTTAAGAGGAGAAATCGTGAGATGGGAATGCTATCATGCGGGTGATTAGGGAATACAGCGCTGCAGAGGTGATCATGGGAAGAGCTTGGAGTAGGCCAGTCATCTTTCAAATGGCTCGACAAGGAGCGCTGAGATGTTCCGATGTCTTTACGAGTCAACTTCAGTTAACGTAGGGTGTACGTTGATCAGACTGTCCGAGTCTGTTTGATCGGATCGGGCTTGAAAGTAAAGCGTAGTTCAAGCATCTACTTCGAACAGCATTAACTTTCCGAATGGTCTGATTTGAGTGATATGAACGTTACTGTGGCCAAGGTTTACCTTACTAACTGAATCAGCAAAACCAAACTTTGCCCCCTATATAATATTATATACAATAAATGTAAAAAAAGGACATATTATGTACTCTGTGCAGGTGATATTATAGTATGCCTCGGTCATTCATCAGTTAATGTTTTCTATTCCGTTGTTATTCTAATTTTTACCCCATATTATGAAACTACAAATACAATGACATGTAAATTCAAAAGCCATTAATTTGTTGTTAAAGTGACTTATTTTAAAAGGAATATACTGACTGGAGTGTTTGAGGAGAGGGATTCTCTTATTGTTGTTATTTTTATTGTTATATTATCATATTATTGTTGTTACTATTATTGTTATCATTATTATTATTATTATTATTATTATTATTATTATTATTATTATTATTATTATTATTATTAACATTTGCAGTAGTAATAGTAGTAGTAGTAGTAGTAGTAGTAGTAGTAGTAGTAGTAGTAGTAGTAGTAGTAGTAGTAGTAGTAGTAGTAGTAGTAGTAGTAGTAGTAGTAGTAGTAGTAGTAGTAGTAGTAGTAGTAGTAGTAGTAGTAGTCACTAACCAATTCTATTTCTACAAACTGAACAATATTGAATTCGCATTGAAGAAATCACAGGCAGTATAAAGATAATGTTTTACTTTATTGTATTCAACTAACAAAATAATGTCTCTTTCTCACCGTCGGTCTTCCTGATCCCCTGTTCTCAGTCAGCCTCTGTGTGCCTGTCTTCTCTCTTCTCTCTGTTTCACTCTTTTCTCTTAACATCATAAATAAAAATAAATGTCCTTTCCGACGGGGAATCGAGCCCCGTTCCTTTGTGACAGGCGCGGACACTTACCACTATACTACCAATGAACAACCCCCTTTGCTGCAAAATTATCGATAAAATATTAGATACTTTGTTACCTTAGAATTACAAAGTTCTATCTGCTCAGTACCTAGTTTTGAGAAATTTGACGTAAAAAATGCCGAGTTTCACAATAGTCAAGCCTTTTCGAATGCAGTTCTTTGAATATCTTGAGATCTTAAGATTTTGATAGAGCAGATAGAGCATTTGATATCTGATCTCATGGTCATAGTAACTCAAAATGGCCAAAAATATCAGATAGAAATGTGTAATTCTGGGGTAGCGATTTATTGACGAAACGATTTAGGCCTTCAGGTAAATCTCAGCTTGTGCACACCAAGGTCACGTTAAGCACCCGTGTATCGATGGGTAGATGAAGTGAATTTTTTCCCGTTCATTAATGTGCCACCCCGGACAAAAGGATTATGGACACCCAAGTTCTAAGTTGAGCTATTGGAGAAAATGACACAAAATAATAGAAATAAAATCAATGCCTATTACGATATACAACATAACTACAGGTTATCTTGAGTTTCTTTTTTTTTTTTAAAGTTGGGGGGGGGGGGGGGGGGGAGTCTTATCTTCATTT